TAAAAATAACAACGCCTGGCAACTTGATATTTTTGCCAACCGACACACGTCATTCACAGTGGGGATTGAATATCTGATTAGCGTTTTCTGTTTTCCGTCCTTAGGTTTAATTTTTATATTGAATGTACAGATCGTTGTTTATTTGTTGCAACGTGAATATTAATTTATTGGAAAGTAAATATATGACAAATTTATTAAATTATCGAAGTATACAATTAGGTATACTTCACATAGACTTACCGATGCCGAGAGACAGCTATTTACATTGTACAGCACTTTCTTAAGATTAATTTATCCTAGTACTTCGCTAGCTAGAATAATAATTCTGGACTAAAATTTCTATCTTTAAAACATATTAAAAAGTAGCATAGAAATACTAACATTGTCAGAATGCTCTGCGGTACTGCTATATGGCCTTGTAATTATCTTATTTGTCATACGACATATATAGAATAATAGATATAACTATTTTATTATTAATTGGCAAGATGTAAATGCGTGAGGATTTATGAGTAAATATTCCCGATAACGCTTGTCAGCTTGTACATTGAAATCATATTCCAGATATAAAGCTGATGTATATTTAATAATCGCGTTAGCTCGATTTGAAGCAAAACTACGTTTATTACGATTTAAACGAAGTGATAAATAGCCATTTTCAGAGGAAAAAAACCACTTAAGTTACACATTCCATGCGCGTGTATCATCTTGTTCTTCATTTACATTTACACATTATAATATAATTCATATAATATGCATATTTTTAATTTACATTTATATATTACAGTTCATATATGTGCATAACATACATGCATATGAATTACCGAGCCATTCCATTCGAACGTTATATTCATAAATCGACCGACACATCTACTTTTTATATGCTTTATAACATATCCCTCAATGTAGAATCTCTTTCATTTTATTCGATGTAATATGAAGAGATCGCAAACGCCGAATCATTTTATTTCTGTATTAAAGTCGAAGATGCTTGATATTTTATAATATGAGTAAATTAAATATTTCGTATAATGATGCAAAGCCGAGTAATCACCACAATTTTAGTAAAAAAAAAAAAAAATCAGACGCGGAAGAAAAGTAAATTTGAAAGTAATTGATTCCATTTTTTATTGAAAAAAGCAATGGCTTGCTTTATACGAATCATCCTCATACAGTGATAATAATCAAAGTATTAATGTTATCTATTAATATTAACGAATGGCAGACTATAATAAAGGATTATATTATGGTATAACGATTGATGCATTATTCGAGATGAGATTTTTCTAGAGGTATACACTTCGCGATGATAAACTCTGTGTATAATTAGAATTTTTTGACTATTTTGAAGACTACCATGAAACACACATTCAAAAGTGTAGGTATTAGCAACGAAGACGTAGTTCATAATTACCGATGCGCAGATCATGGCCAAAGCAGCATTATTTTTCCACTAATTTATAATAAGATAGACCAGGGAAGCTCCGTGTATGTATTGTATATAAATTGTTAAGCATATAAAATGGTTCCGAAGTCATTTAAGATTATTCTGAATATATATCACGTTACATCGCTACGTTATTAATATGATATACTAATTGAATATATACACTATATATATAAATATATATACACACATAGTATATATATAAAGTTCATTTATTATTGTATAATAAAAAAAAATCATTTACAAAATGTATTTAAGTGTACTTAATTAAACATTTTCATTAATATCGCTACCACTATCATGCTGTTATTTAACTTTTTGAAAGAAAAATCTTTCTTAATATCAAAATTTCACTAAAACATCTTATGTTGCGTTTAATTGGCAGAGCGACAGATTAACGAATGCGTAAGGATAATAAGAAAATGTTGAAACAACTTCTTTGCCAAGGAAAGAATGAGATGTGAAATAAGTTTTTCTTTTTTTTTATTTTAAAGGGGAAGTATTCGATACGATAAGATAAGCCTAAAAAAAATCAGAATGCCTGAACCCCTTAATCACATTGAGCTGTTTTTGTACAAGGATAAAGTCGTACGTATACCTATCTATCTTTGTGCATATGTTTGCATATATTAATATGTAAACTTACGCGGAATAACGTATAGCGGGTCTTATAGCATTTCTTCAGATTTACAAAGGAATCAATTATTTCCAAGAGTTA